TTACCAACGTTTCAGAGGTCATACTGCCTCCGTCTTCAGAGTATGAAGATTTCTGTCTTCTGGGTTGTTGCGCTGTGTAGTCTGGTAGCAGACCCATTACAATGACGAAATCTTGGTAACTATGAAGGGCTGTGCATATAAAAAGAATGAGGAACACAAGGGATGCATGTAGAATTTAGGTGGGAAACCATCTTAAAAATGGCCTAGGAAAAAATTGAAGGAAGATATTAAGAAAGATATTAATAAACCAGGTTATGAGCAACTGATACGGTTTAAAGTAGCTCAGAAAATCATCTAATAGCGGCCTCTGGTATTAGAGGGCTGGACCTTCGAGCTCTGGTATCACAATTCGCTTTTATTTTCTGTGTTTGTAAGGGAAGAATGAACTGACATTTTGTGCACCCTTGATCCATTTCATGTTACAGCTCGGCAGAATAAGAGTATCACGGTCATTTTATTGTTTATGGTGTGTAGTAAAAGTGAAATATGTCTTACAGTACGTCTTCTTGACCGGTGCAGTGTGTTACTGCCTATGAGTAATCCATCATTTCTGTGCGCAAGATAAAGACACTAACAAGGAGAACTGTACCCTCCTCTGTCTTGATAGGGGAAGTTCAATGCGGTGGCATCCGACACTGGAAATAGGACGGGAATTTTTCTTTTCAGACAAATACATAAAACAGATTAAACTAAATAAATACGACAGTAAACCAAAATCATAACAAAACATTGTAATAAATTTCAAAGAAATCGGGTAAATTGGAGAATTACTTCAATAAATGCTTGATAGAATATTAATCTCAAGAAATTTGACCAACCAGCCTTAACCTTACAATAGTCTAAATATCCATATATATATATATATATATATAAAACAATCTTTTCTTATTGTGCTATATGAGCGTAAACGTGGAAAATCAATTTCAAGAAAGAACACATATTACGTTTTTTTTTAAAAAAATAAGTATATACTAAAATATGCGTGCCACATGACCCGCCCATCTCACCCTTCTTGATTTTATTACCGGAGTGATATTTGGTAAAGAATACAGTGTGTAGCTCCTCATTAATAAATATGATCCAGCTTCTGGCATACAAGGATAGATAATTTTAAAATGCGAAGGGGCGTGAGGGTTTGTATAGAACTGCAGTGGCTCTGGCTACAGCTCGAAGACGTAACTTTAACTTAAATTTCTAGCTGACTGTCTAAGAAACTATTAGCTTTTAAAAATCGAGTCAGCTGGAACAGAATAAGATCATTTCATACTATCATTCCATTGAGCAAGTCATGCTAAATGTACTTCCGATACTAAATACAAGACTAGAACCTCGCATGTGCTGAAAAGGGCACTTAAAGGAGCGAAACAAAAAATAACATATTGAAGCATAAAAAGGAGACTGAAAAAATAAATTGCATTCTTCGGTAATGTTTTGTGTTTGTAGATGTAAATACAGTAACTGCGGAATTTTGGTAAAGTACGGATTTTTTTTACAACATATGAGAATTTACGACAGAATAAAATGTCGGCTTTTAACTTTCCTTTTGCCCACAAAACTTCAGAACAGTGCATGTCAATCTGCTGCCACTGTAAACACTTCGTCAGCATCTTAAATCACCAAGGACATTAAAGTCGAAGAAAGGACGGTCACATTTAAACGTCTACAAGACCTCAATATGAGTAATTCTTATGTTGAATTAAACGTATTTTTGTCGTATGATAAAGTGTGCAACTTGCCCATGTTTATTTTATAAATTAATAAAATAATTTGTATCAATTATTTATTTTAATCCGTCTGATCACAATATAAATTTTTTATTTAAAATTTCTTATAATTAAGATAATAAAATATCATTTATGTTCCATATCGATTGATCGATTTACATTTCGGATCAATCGATATGGAACATGAATGATATTTTATTATCTTAATTATAAGAAATTTTAAATAAAAAATTTATATTGTGATCAGACGGATTAAAATAAATAATTGATATAATATTCACAATATGACGCAATTACACTATAAATAATTTGGGTAAACAAATCTTTAAAAAAAGTTAAAATTGACAAAATTGCCTTAGGATAATGATTAAAGAAGGCTCTGCCAAATAACGTTACACGATAACTAAACTAACTACCATTGTGTAGCATTACATTAATTTGAAGATTTCTGTCTTCTGGGTTGTTGCGCCGTGTAGTCTGGTCGATGTTAACCAACGTTTCAGAGGTCATACTGCCTCCATCATCAAGGACGAATGAAATGGGCGAGACTTGTAGCGCGAATAAGAGGAATTAGAAATTATTAAAATTACTAAATTATTTTCGGAAAAACTGATGTGACAAGAATATTTGGGAGGTGCAGAGTGAAAGGTAATTGTTCCAAGTGTCACAGAAAAACAAAATTTCGGAGCGGTGATTGAATTAAAGTGGCTCAGGCCAGGCTCACTTTAAAGTTTAAAGTGAGTGTATCATCCGCTCGTTCGTGCGGTGTTAGGTACTTTATCTTCTATCCAAAGTCACCATATTAATATGTAAACAGATGCCTCATTGTACATCAGATGCGGTTTATCTAACAAAGTTTTGTGATTGTAACATGTTTATTTTGAAACGTTTGAATTAATATTATGAAGGCGTGTTGAGGAAATGAAACCAAGTTAAATGTGACGGCGTTAACAAATAGAATTTAGCTAATCCTGTTCACAAATGACTGAGAAATGTTTTTCGTTAATCAATATCGTTATAATCACATTATTTTAGAACAAACAATATGTATTCTCATACAAGTCTCGGTCATAACGAGGTAAAGTTTAAAATAGTAGGTGTGAAAATATATCTAAAATATTTTATGATGACATGTTTTGTCAAAACAAAGTGGTCTTTATAATCTTAAAACTCACTGCACGTTTTGAACTGTATAAGAAATCCGGTTTGGCAACTATTCTCATCGTCCAGTTCTTCTTCTTATTAGCACATTTTCTTTTATCGTTTTAACCAGTCACTTGATTTATTGTTTATTCCACCAATCCACTTCATGGATGTTACACTTCTATATTAGTGTATAGATAACAAATTTCGTGTCAAGATTGTGCATTCTTTTTTGAAGTTCTCGGTTTTTCTTTATTGTGCTTCTAATTTCTTTTTAAATTTCTCTTTGTTTCTACTATAGTATACTTCCTACCGAAGACAGACTCTGACAGACCCCAACATCAGCACCACAACAACCTCGCTTGCATTTATTTCTCTCAGAGTCGCTACCATCAGAACTTAAATTTTTTCCGCTCACTCGTAAAGTGAATGACGGATATCAGCTACTATATTTTAAATAGACAGTCATTATAACATAATTATAAACAGCGCCAATAAGAGAAAACCCCAGCTCACACCATGATGTATAAACACATCCCTGTAATTGAGAAACGCGTGTTTTAAAATCAAACAAAGTATCTGGTAAAATTACGTATTTCTGCACGTTGCAAATCTGATTACTTCAAAAACAGTGAAGTGTTAAGTGGTGTATTATGTTTTACGAGACTCTGTGGAAACGAAACAGAAAACAAAATTAATTTTATAAAAATCCTGTGGTGGGCTAATGTCAAAACATAGAACTTACAAACTGCGTCATCCGGAATTGTCTTTAAGACGTGGAGGACACAGGATAATTCGATCAAAATAAAAGGAAAAAGAAACACACACACACACATGCATGCATTCAAACAGAAATATGTTCCTCTATCAGACCAACATGGCTGAAACGTTTACGACTGCAACATTCATTTCTCGAAGTGAAATAAATTTTATTTCGATTCAAACAAATATGATAATGCTGGTATTATGGATAGGGTCTACATATTTTGTTGACTTTTCGATAGAATTCCTTTTTAAATATTCATAACATTCTCATATTCCATTGTTTGAATGCTGTATTTAAATGTATCGGTCATATTTTAAAGAGACAAAGGAAAGCCTTCCAACCACAATAGATTGTCACTGTGATTGGATTCAAATACGTTTAGGAAATACACTCCGATTTGCATTGATTTATAACATACAATACCTCCTAGATCGAAAAATCAAATGCTAATACTATTTCAAATCAAGTCACAGTAGATATCTTTTATTTCTGCATGTGCAAATGCTAATACTATTTCAAATCAAGTCGCAGTAGATATATTTTATTTCTGCATGTGTATCACTTAAAATAAAACGCTAGAAACAAATATTTAATTAGAGAAATGTGTAGATAAAATTCGTGAAGGCATAGTCGGATTTAAAAAAAAAAACATTAATGTACCGGGAGGTTCCGACTTGGAATCCAGGTTAAGATATTTATGATACAATCAAGAAAGAGTCATCAGCAACGAGTGAAGTACATATTACGAAACGTCGTCTTGGGATAACTGGTGAAATAATGAAGCGTGTGCTCATATTTTGTCTCTGCAATGTGGGACGAAACAGAACATGATATAAACATGGCTAATCATTAAAATATTTGGGAACAAAAACACTAAATAAAATCAATTTTTTTTTTAAAATTGGAGAACACTAAATTTTTAGAATTCATGTTCCTCTAGTTCCAATTTATATCCACAAATGCAAGATTCATACAACAGGATTATACTAAAATTTAAATGTTAGTTCATGTGGGAGTAAACTTGGTCTCTCACCATAAGGAAAAAAATTCACAATGAGGTTGTCTGAGAACAAAGTTCTCAGAAGAATATTTGGACTTTACGGGAAGTAACGATAGAAGTGAGAAGTTACTTAACCCTTTAAAACCCTGTGTATGTATAATTATGTGGATATCGATGCCAAAAATTTCCATAATTCATTTCTGCTTCTTGTACCTGAAATTCCACTTATACACTCTGTTTCTTCGTCCAATTTCAATATCATTTTGAAACAATATGTACTAAATGGTCCATAAAAATTCCAAAGATCGGACAATGGTTTCTCGATGTGATTTAGACGAGATGTCGAGGATATATTACACGACCATCTTACCAGAATTTTCTCCCCCCCACGTTTTCCCACCCCCATCGCCTTTCCAGAACCCGTCATATATGTCTCCCAGCACATGACACAGATTTCCGTAGACCATCACAGATATAAAAACCTATAATTTTTTTTCGTGGCCCAGTCAACTTTTCCCCTTATCCCTTATTTGATAATCCACATACTCAGTACATATTTGATGTTCATGTGACCAAGATATCAATATGGTTATTTTCATAGAGAACTGTATAAAAATAGTAATGAAACCAGAAGGTTTAATAGCCGACACAACATGATTCTCAGTCACATAACAACCTTATAATATTTCCCGAAGATGCATTTTACCATCTCTCCCCTTCAACACCAAAATCCACTTCATGATTCGTACTTTTTCCATCAGGACTATTCTATTTCAGCAAAGAAGAAGGAGCTTATAACTGAGATCCCGAACCAAATATCACTAACTTGATTTTCTCTGGGATTTTTATAGATGTCCCCTCCAGGAAATAGTTCTAGATAACACGGTACAAATTTGTCATCCGCGATCTTTCTAACGTTAAGAAATTCATTCAAAGATTTTTGGTATCGTACATTCAAATAAACATGTGTAACTAATATAAACGTCAGGGCGAATTTAAATT